GTGGGGGAACTTGCACAATCGGTGGCTGACTAAATACTTTTTTGCCCCACTGTACCTTTCTCTGTACCTGCTGATTTGTTTCCCCAATGCTTACTATGATGAAACTGATGAAATGCTATTTTAGACCATTTAGTCTTCCTCTGACATCATTATTCCTGAATGTTTTAAATAAAGAATTATTTGGGTTGTTTGGATGTCAGTCTGTCTTTTATTCAGACAAACTCCCTTCATTAGAGAACACTCTGCAAAATTCCTACACTGAAAGAATTGCCCGAGAAGTACAAGTGTTTAATTTATCTTATTTATTTATTTATTTATATTAAATAATATTTGAAAAGGGGAAAATGTCTTTTTTCACTGACTCAAACTTTATTTTTGATAATACTGTATCAATATTGATGTGTGAGGATGAGGAATATTTCTTTGTTTTCTTGCACTGTGTTTTCAGTCTTAATCTTCAATCTTGCTAAACATATTGTAGTTTCTTCCATCAGTCCTGAAGGAGCTCGTTCACAGAGATACTTGGTGCTGATGTTATTTCATCCAATGTGCTGCTTAAAATAATATGAGTGACATGTATAAAAGAGGATTTACTGTTTATGGTATTTGAGTTCCTGTTACCTTCCTATCAGCTTGAGGTAATCTGGCCATTGTCCTCTGACATCAACAAGGCATTTTCACCCAGAGAAGTGCTGCTCACTGGATATCACCGGATATCCAGTGACCTCCAGTCTCAGTGCAGTACAGCATCCTTAGATTTGCTTGAAAGGAGTACTTGGATGAGCGGCTGTGACTGAAAGTATGTATTTCTATTTGTTACAAGTAAGCCTCGGGCAGTGTGTTACTGCTATTGCTCGTCTCCTCTTCGAGCTTTTTCCAAGCCAATGTTGTCTTGGCCAATACAGACCAGTCTGTATACAATGGAAGGGAATATATGAAAAAGTTCATAACCCTGATTCTTATATATATATATTCACTGAAGGTTTTATATGAACAACTTAAAATGACGAGGCTTTTGTGGCTCAGAGTGAGGCTTTGGTAGATGATTACACTCATGCAAAAAATGAGACAAAACTGAGTTTTTATCATCTCACATTCAAAATATGCATTTTTTAAAACCTGGAAATAAACAAAGAAACCAAAGTTAAAAAAAAAAATAAAAAGTCAAACTGACTTCTTAAAACCTCTTTTTGGTCAGCAACAATTCCTCTATGAAGGAAACCCTGAGCTAACAGAAACAAAATAAACAAGAGAAACGTTCTGAAATAGCTCAGATGAGAAATTTTCTTCTGTTTCCTAATGTGATAATGTTCATTAATATAATGTAAGAATTTATTAGAGATCAAAGAATTTATTTTTTAAAACCACGTTATCACAGATCCTGTAAAAATAGTAATTAAAGTTGTTGGTTGTCTTTTTACATCTAATACAAAAATAAAAACACAAATGATGCAGAAAATAATAATATCATCATATTTTCACATGTACAGGTATTTAACATTCGGTTTAAATGACAAATCAATGAATGTACTAGCGCTGTGTGAGATAAACAGCAGAATATAAAGTTTAAATCATGATCACATACACTTAACGAGAGTGATGGACATTTACACAACAGAACAACAAAAATTAAACTCACGAAGGGAAAATAAAGCGTCCGACTTTATGGTTTGTTAAAAAAAGTTATGATATAATTTGGTTAAATCTGCTTCATGAATGTAAAAGAAACAAAACATATTTTGTAATATAGAGAGAAAAGCAGAGGAAATAAAAATAAAAGCTGCATCGTTTCCTAATAATTAATGATAAGCTCATCTACATCAATAAAATGACCCAACTTAACTATTCATAAATCATCATCAGTTTTTTAGTCTCCTCGTGTCAGTGTGTGTTTCCAGTTACAGAGGATTGTTACAGGATCGCGCAGGTTTTAGGAAAGTCTTCAGCTGCTGGTTGTAAAGGAACAGCTCCGCTGTATTTCTTTATGAATTCACTGAATTCTTCAGCTTTTCTTCTCGCTTCCTCTTCATATTTCCTCTTAATGTCTTCCATCTCTCTCTTGTACTTTACCTCTAATTCTTTTTTCTCTTTTTTGTATCGTTTTTTCCTCGTTTTATATTTTCTCTTCTCCTGTTTATACTCTTCTTGAAGCTTTTTATGTCTCCTTTCCTCCTCTTGACGTCTCTGTTCATTTTCTTCATGTCGTTTTTCCCACCACTCCTTTCTTACCTTCTCCCAGGATTTGCGTTTTTCTTCCATTTCTTTTCTAATCTGTTCCAGTTTCTGATCAGTTGCCGGCTTGTTTGTTGGTGACCTGATTTGTTCCTCCAAAGCTTCCCCTTCTTGTTCCCATTTCTTTTGTTGAAGTTTTTCCTCCTCTTTCTTTTTCCTCTCCTCTTCTTCTCTCATTTCATTTTCTTTCTTTCTCTGTGGATCATCTTTTTTAATCTTCCCCTTCATTCCACGAAGTTGTTTTTCTGTCAGTTCTGTGTCATTTATAGTTTCTGTCTTTATTTCTTCCTCTTGTTTTCTTTCAAGCTCCTGCATTTCTCTCTTCATCGCTTCTTCGTTCTCTTTCAGGATCATCTCCTGTTGTTCCTGTATCGCTGCTTCAGCCTCTTGCAGCATCTCATTGGTGAAGCAGCTGCCTCCATTTTCTTTCACCATGGTGTCAATCTTTGTTATCAGCTCATTGACTTGTGTTTGGCTTTTTTTATCATGGTTATTGAACACATGGTATCTTCCTCCACAGTCCGAGATCAGCTTCTTAAAATAATCATCACACCCCTTTTCAATGTACTCTTCAATGGACTGCTCTTCATGTTCCAGTGTATCTCCTCCTGTGAAGAGAAAGATGGTGAACTTCTCAGAATCTTTTCCAAAGAATTTCTTGATCAGTTCGAGTGTCTCCTTCTCTTCTGGTGTGAATCTGCCAATCTGCATCACCAAAAGGAAGACATGTGGTCCTGGAGCCAGGAGGCTGATGCATTTCACCATCTCCTCATGAACTTCATCATGAGACAAAGTTGAGTCAAACAGTCCAGGAGTGTCGACCACAGCAACAGGACGACCGTCCACTTCAGCATGTGCTTTCTGACAGCGTTTGGTGAGTGACATCTGGATTGCTATGGCTTCAAAGGCCTTTCCTCCTAGAATGGCATTTCCTGTAGAGCTCTTTCCACTGCCAGTCTTCCCAATCAGCACAATCCTGAGAGGGTCTCTGCTCTGTTTATCCTCATCTACAAAATAAGAACAGCTGGATTTAGAAACTAGTTTTAAAGAAGAAAGAAAAAACAAAACATTATAATATAAGTGAATCACTATATATGGCATAAACAGGTATTTAGTCTAAGTGTACTTACAGGATTTAAGTTCAGCTTTTAGTGCTTTATTCTCCTTCTGCGCAGTTATAACTTGAGCTATTGTGGCATTTCCAAAAGTTTCTTTTGTATAGCAGCTTAGTTTATCTTTACGCAGTCTCATCTTTTCTGCAGTCTCCAACAATTCTGGGATCTTCTGTTTGTCCTTCATGTTGAGAACAAAATACCGTCCCCCACAGCTCTTACAGAGTTCCTGGATGTCCTTGTTTTCTTTTAGAAAGCTAAGAACAGCTGGATCTGTAAAATCTGAGTCCACAGTGAACAGAATCATGGTGAAGTCATTGACTCGAGAGCTGAATGTGTCCTGGATGGTCTCTAACTCTCCCTCGTCTTCATCAGTGAGGGGAGCCACAGGTAGGACCAGGATGAAGGCATGGACACCCTCAGGATCACAGAGGGAGATACACTTGAATGATTCCTCCATCACTGCCTCCTGAGGTTTTCCATACAAGGCAGGCAGCTCCACCAGGGAAACCCAACGTCCACACACCTCTCCCTGATGTTTAACACACTCTGATGAGTTGGAGGCTGAATGAAGCTCAGTCTGACCTAAAATGGCCTTGGCTGCTGACGTCTTCCCTGCTCCTCTCCTCCCACACAGAACCAGGTTTAAAGGGGGTTCTCGTTTCTGCCGGGGAGGTTCACTGGATTCATTTACCATCTTTTGAACCTTCTTCATTAATGATCTACAGTTACCTTTGTACATGTTGTAGTGTCTTCCTCCACATTCTCTAAGGAGTTCATTTACAGATTCGCTATTTTCATCCCTGTTGGTTATGACGGCAATGAAGTGTTTAAAGGAATCTTCACCAAACAAACTCAGGATGAACTTCAGACTTTTTCTGTTCTCCTCAGTGAAATTAGAAGGTTTCACTAGCAGCAGCAGAACGTTTGGTCCAGGAGGACAGAGACTCACACAGCTCTTCACTTTTCGTCTTATTTTCTCCTCAGACAGACCGAACATGTCGGGAGTTTTCACCACTCTTAATGATTTTCCTTTCCACTTTCCACAGGAGGCCACACATTGCATTTTTAGGGATTGTTTTTGGTGTTGAAAACTTTCACAACCAGTAATGATGTTACCAAGTTTGGTCTTCTTGTCCTCACTTTTCCCCAACAACACAATCCTGAAATCAGACACTGGAACAGAGAGAAAGAAAAGTAAAACAAATGCATCGGAAGCTGACGTCATCTGTGTTTTCATACTTTGGTTAAAATGTGATGTGATTATTTTATTTACTTATGTGTGATGTAAATTGTGTTCATATACAGCTGAATATAAAAATGGTATTTCCTCGATCCAGAAAAGTGGATATGGAGGATGGTGTGGTGGATTTTTCTGAGAAACTGGTGGCACAACAGATTTAAATTGAACAGATTTAAGATTTAAATGTCTCCTAACAGCTGTTCCCCAGCAGAACAACCTTCAACTCAGGTTTAGAAATGACAGCTAAACACATATTAAATATATTCAGGCATTTCAGTTTCCTATAGTGTATCAACTAAATAGCACAACCTCCAGAATAACACAGTTTGACTCACACTCTGGTGGAATGAAATCAAAGCTACTGCTGCGTCCCCGGGGAGGATGAGTATCTGAGAAGATAAAGATGAACAAATTTAAACAGCATTAGCTGGCATATTTACATGTAATCTGAACATTGCTGGTCTTTAGGCACAGCCTACTACTTTTCTTGCAATTCTCAAAACAGCACAGAACAAAAACAGTTTATAGACACTGACACAGAGTTAGGTATGCAGGGAATTTGTATAATAAGTTATTGAATAATATTTATCAAACATGCAGTACACACTATCCAGTTCAGTGTCGGAGCTTCTTTCCAAAACCTGAGAATCTGTCTGATACAAGCCTCTGAAGCAGCCATCAGTACTCCCATTACAGACTTATTCAACTACAGTAGGACCCAAGGAGACACAGTTCCTAATTAATAACAACCCCAGGTTTCTCTTCAGCACTATAGCCAGGCTGAAAAAAAGTCAGAGCAATGTTGAGCCAACCATCCCTTTAACGTTAATTTTTTCAAGTGCTTTTAAACATTAAATTAGGAACAATTTAATTTGATTAAACAATGAAATTACCTATAAACAAGGTCAATGAATGCGGCAATATGAATAATAATACTTAAATAATAATGGATAGCATTCATATAGCGTTTTATGAGACCCTCAAAGCGCTTTACAATTCCACTTTATAATTCCCCTCTGACCATCACCAGTATGCGGTAGGTGAAGTGTCTTGCCCAAGGACACGACAACTGAGTGTCCGAGCCGGGGCTCGAACCGGCAACCTTCTGATTACAAGGCAAACTGCCAACTCTTGAGCCACAATCGCCTTAAATAACAATAATAATAGTAATTATTTGATGTAAAAAAAGTTTATACGAATCATTTTATATATTTTTCCACAGCATTACATTTGAATTTAACAGTTCAATCTTTCAAATAACGGACAAATATTTGTGAAATCATGATACATTTGTGAATGTATTTTAACAATCTAAATATGCATATTGATAGGTTTGTAGCTTGAACCTATTCGCTGGAACGTTGAAGACAATATAATTACACAGCAAGCAAGACACAAGTAGGCAAAGTTCTTCATGTTTCTCGTGCACGGGAGAGAACCGGACAAACGCCGTTCCTTCGCTTGACCCCAGTTGCTCTCGTCGCTCTCCCCGTAACACTGCTCTTTTATTGAGGTTACATGAATATGCATAGGTTCATTAACATATGACGTCTACATACAACACAAAGAGTACCTTGCCTTGTGTGTGTGTGTGTGTGTGTGTGTTGTGTGTGTGGTGTTGTGGTCAGAGTGTGACCCCATAAATGACTTCCCTAAACCTGCTGGTCTGGAAGTCCAGCAGTTCATCTAAACAAAAGGCACTTAGCCTAAAACAGATATAGCCACGTTTATCCTACCATAAAACAATAAGACAAGGTACGACCTCTCCCATGCTCCCAGGATGTAGGTGTGCATTCCGTGGGAATGCACACCAAGCCTTTGCAGCCTGCTAAAGATCACACATCCTATCACTACACAATTAATTATACACCTCTAAGCATATATGGTTAAATATTTCTAAGCATAAATGACAATCAACAATACAAAACCTAACACATATGTACAGACAAATACATTTAAAAACAAGCACATATTAAACAAATATGTAAGACTGCTTTCTTCCATTTGTGCAACATCTCTAAAGTTAGAAATATCCTGTCTCAGAGTGACGCTGAAAAACTAGTTCATGCATTTATTACTTCCAGGCTGGACGACTGTAATTCATTATTATCAGGATGTCCAAAAAACTCACTGAAAAGCCTTCAGCTGATCCAAAATGTCTCGGTCGTTGTGTCCTTGGGCAAGACACTTCACCCGTTGCCTACTGGTGGTGGTCAGAGGGCCCGGTGGCGCCAGTGTCCGGCAGCCTCGCCTCTGTCAGTGCGCCCCAGGGTGGCTGTGGCTACAATGTAGCTTGCCATCACCAGTGTGTGAATGTGTGGATGACTGGATGTGTAAAGCGCTTTGGGGTCCTTAGGGACTAGTAAAGCGCTATATCAAATACAGGCCATTTACCATTTAGTTTCACAAGCATCATTTTGTGTTTCTTGATTTAAGCAGTTTTGTAACAAAAAAATCCTCCACATTTTAACAATTTATACTCTACATTCAGAGATGGTCTTTCCCTTTTCACGTAAATGGCCTCCTTGACTCCGCCCTCAAACCAGCGTTCCTCCCTGTCCAGGATGTTACATCCTCATCATTGAAAGAGTGTCCACTGGCCTGTAGGTGTAAATAGACTGCAGAGTCCTGGCCTGACGAGGTGGCTCTTCTGTGTTGTAGCCAGAGGTTGTTTGGTTTCCCCGATGTATAAATCCTGGCAATCCTCCTGCACTTAACAGCGTACACTATGTTACTCTGTTTGTGTCGGGGGACCCGATCCTTGGGGTGGACCAGTTTTTGGCGCAGCGTGTTTTGGGGTTTAAAAGCCACAGAGACCCGGTGTTTAGAAAAAATGTGTCTCAGCTGCTCCGATACTCCTGACACGTAGGGATCACTACAGGTTTTCTAGCGGTTGTCCTTCTCTCCTGGATCGGCTGGAGCTTTCTTTAGGAGCCTTCCAGCTTTGACAAAAGTCCAGCTGGGATAACCACATTTACTCAGGGCCTTCTTGATGTTCTTCTGCCTCCCTGGCTGCTGTGTCAGTGGGGATGGTGTTCGCTCTGTGTTGTAGCGTCCTGATGACCCCAGTTTGTGCTCCAGTGGATGATGAGAGTCAAACCTTAGATACTGATCCGTATGTGTAGGTTTACGGTACACGTCAGCTTTTAGATGTCCCCCATTACTGATGGAAATCTCACAGTCTAAGAAGGCTAACCTGCCACTTTTCATATCCTCCCTGGTGAATTTGATGTGTCGGTCCACCGAGTTAATGTGATCCGTGAATTGTGGAACGTCTTGAGATTTGATTTTCACCCAGGTGTCATCCACATATCTGAACCAGTGGCTTGGTGGTGTTCCAGGGTAGGATCGCAAAGCCCTCTTTTCCACTTCTTCCATGTACAAATTGGCCACGATGGGTGAAACTGGTGAGCCCATGGCACACCCATGTTTCTGCCTGTAGTACTGACCTTTTATGTGAAGTAGGTGGAATGAAGACACAGTTCAAACACACTTAGTCGATGCTGAGACTGGTCTTGTTGCTGAGGTTGGGGTCATCCTGTAATCTCTTACAAACTACCTCCAACGCTTCAGTGACTGGGATGCAAGTGAAGAGAGATGTAACGTCGTATGAGACCATGTTTTCATCTGCCTCCATAATGACATCTCTTTGATCAGGGCTTTGAAATGTACAGTCAGCTGAGACTGAAGAAGTCACCTGGATGAGTGACAAAATGTTTCTCCCACAAAATGCTACGTCCAGATGAACAGGATCAACTTTTGGAGATTTACTTACCTGGATGATTGAGAATGCATCAAGACATAGAAAGTGATACATTTTCCAGACTTCTCTAAACGTGTAGTTATGGCAAAAACAAAAAAAAAAAATTAATTGTGAAGTTATATATTTAGTAAACATTGGGCCACAGAAATACTCTCTATGCTAATTATATCAACAGTGTGAAGAGACAGGATTTTAGTCAGAGTAATAGAATTTGCTCACCAGATGCTGCAGTTGCCATAGTGTCAATCAGCTGGAAACATCAGAGACACTACAGGCAGAAGATACAGAAGTCTCATTGCCATGAAATATTCACTATTTGAAATAACATCCACTTAGGTCCATTTAGGTAACATAACATGTTATAATATATATAGGCATTTACATATAAATTGCACATATGCATGCATATGAATCTCATTTTGACTGTGGTTGTCCTGGCTGAAATTTTGTTTTAGATTTGTTAAATCTAAAACAAATATCTAAGTTTTATTTTCTGAATGCTCCAATCCGGTTTGCATGATGCCTTTGAAAAGTTGCAGATTTCTTTTTTAAATATTAAAAACTAAAATAAAACTAAATAAATAAAAAAAACTATGTTATTCCTGATCTGTCCTCTGGGTGTGTCACTATCCTATTAAAAGTATCAAGCTCGTTGAAGCCATAGAAACACATGCAGCTTGAAAGTCAAGTGTATGGTGCTGTTCATGGAAACCTTTTATAAACATCTTCATCAAAAAGGAGAAAAGTGAACGAGTGTTGAGTATTTCAACAAAAATGGACCAGTTCCTATTTATTCTCAGAGGTAAATGAAGCCTGTGTGTTTGGTGTGTTCACAGAACAGAAAAATATAATATTAAGCAGCACTATAAGATTTATCATAGTACAAGACAATACAATATAACAAAAGAACAACTGAGAACAGAGAAGATAAACGAGTTGCTGGTAGGTTTGAGGAAACAACAATCACTTTTCACTCATAGCAGAGAGATCGGTGAAGCAGCAGTGAAAGCTATTTACTTGGTTTTCAGCAAAACAGCGTCAGGTTCAAAGCCGTGCTTTGATGGTGAGTTTGAAGATGTGCTTGCTGTGTAGAACTTGGGTGCTCCGACAAGCCACAGGCTTTTGCAAACATCAGCCTGTGGCAGATAGGATTTCAGATCTTGCTGAAGATTTGGTCATCAAATTAAGCACAAAGTCATTTGTTGCATTTTCAGTTGCGATTGATGAGCACACAGATATTACAGATGTTGCTTAACTTGCCATATTCATTCGTGGTGTTGACGAGACACTGACTGTCACAGAGGAATTCATTGAATTGGTGCCGATGACATTTATAACTGTCTTAACTTGGAGTGTCCTAGAAAAAGTACCACTTATGAAGTCCTAGAGCCAAAAATCGACCATGCCATAAAAAGTGCTATAAAAAGATTATACATTAATATTTCATTCCACTTTAAATTAGCCAATCTTTTAGACCTACTTCTCCTTGAAATATTCATATGAAGTTTTAATTATATTTTCGTTGTTTTAACCCTTTAAATCCCAGTTGTATTACACGAGCGCACTGTTTTTTTAGCCCCAAAAACAAAAAAACTAAATATTTTCCAAAAAAACCCATTTGAAGTAATATTTGATTGTTATTATAATTAGGCCTTTAGATGGTCCAAAGATTGGCACCAACATTCATTTTGACCTGCCATTATTTTTTTTGCAGGAGCACATTAAAAAAAATGCGATCCACCTTTATGCTACATTCCCCAAAAAGTGCTATAAAAAGATTATACATTAATATTTCATTCCACTTTAAATTAGCCAATCTTTTAGACCTACTTCTCCTTGAAATATTCATATGAAGTTTTAATTATATTTTCGTTGTTTTAACCCTTTAAATCCCAGTTTATTACACGAGCGCCACTGTTTTTTTAGCCCCAAAAAACAAAAAAACTAAATATTTTCCAAAAAAACCATTTGAAGTAATATTTGATTGTTATTATAATTAGGCCTTTAGATGGTCCAAAGATTGGCACCAACATTCATTTTGACCTGCCATTTTTTTTTTGCAGGAGCACATTAAAAAAAATGCATCCACCTTTATGCCTAAGGACAATTCCCCAAAAAGTGCTATAAAAACTTTATATATTCATATTTTTTTTCACTTTAAATTGGTCAGTCTTTTAAAACTACTTCTCCCTGAAATATTCATATAAAGTTTTAATTATATTTTCGTTGTTTTAACCCTTTAAATCCCAGTTTCATTACACGAGCACCCTGTTTTTTTAGCCCCAAAAAACAAAAAAACTAAATATTTTCCAAAAAAAACATTTGAAGTAATATTTGATTGTTATTATAATTAGGCCTTTAGATGGACCAAAGATTGGCACCAACATTCATTTCGATCCACTTTTATTTTTTTTTGCAGGAGCAGAAAATGGTCCCCAGGCGGCCAAGCTGCTGCTGTACCCCGGGAGGAGTGCCTGTCCCGCGGGTCTGTCTCGAGCAGCCCCGGGGCATACTGGTTGGGTCTCCGTGTCTCCAGCACACACGTCCGATACCACGTGAAAATAAATATATAATTTTCTGTTGATTAAAAAAAAAATGCACCCTCTAAAAGCCCTAAGGGCAGAAAATGGTCCCGCCCGAGCAGCCGGCCAAGCTGCTGCTGCACGCCGGGAATGAGTCTGCCTCTCCCGGGTGTCTGTCTCGAGCAGCCCGCTGGAAAAGTTGTATGTTCGAGCAGGCGTCAAATGTGAAACAAGGGCGCCACCCGGTGGACAAATAAAAAAAATTACAATTCTAAGGCCCCTAGTCCAAAATGAAACCGAAAGTGCAGACATGACGAACACATTAACGGTAATTATTTTGCAGTGAAAAATAGCGTTTATAATGGTTTCAATGGGGCGTTTTTTGGCTCTTGGACCTCAAGTGGATTGCGGTTTGTAGCTTAGCCACTTTAAGCTAATCTAATAAACTCAGACTGCAATTCTAAAGTTAAAAAAAAAAATGTTTGGAAGGTTTGGCTATATTCTATTCAACACAGTGAAAATGGCCTAATATTAAAAAACGCTGTGGATGAAAAATGGCTGTGGGTGACCCAGAGGGTTCTGGACAAGGTCGGGGTGGACTGGGCCCGTGCTATCTCTTACCATATTACTCCAAAATGACAGGCTTGTTGCATTTTTGGAACTAATTCCCTTTGTGAGCAAGCCTTTTCTGTAATGAACAGCAACAAAACAAATATGTGTTCCAGGCTCACACAAAAACACCTAAATGAAGTTCTGAAACTGGCAACTGCACAGAATTTGACTCCTAATGTCACGGGCTGTTGTGGCAGACCGTGTGTGAGTGAATGAGGACCCAGGCGTGGGCACAGACAAAACTGGGTTTAAACGCCTTTATTATGGCTGATGTCATTGAGTTTAAACAAGGCAAAAGCACAGTGGCGAAACAAACTATAAGTAAACTGGGAAACCAATACTGAGATACAAGTATAAAAACTCAGAAAACTATGACTATGAATACAAAGACTAAGACTGTGACAACTATGGCCGTGAAGACATGGAGGGTGGTAACACAGACAACACGACACAAAGAATGAATGAAACACAAAGACTAAATACCCACAGGGATGATTAAGGGAAGTGACCACACATGGAAGCTTACACGCATGAATCTAATGACAGGACAGGGGAAGTGAAACCAAATACAATCAGGGCTCGGGACGTCGGGCTACCAAAATCTATCTCTTCCCTGCCCGTCGGGCTATTGTAGGAAGGAAAAATATATGTCAATGCTTTTGCATTCTTTCAGAAATGTAGCTGGG